TTGATTGGTTAATTATCACGGGAAATCACGGGTAGATCTACAAAAATTAACCAATCAAACGAAAGTCTTCCTATGACTGGGGAAGTTCGTCAAAATTTTGATCTAGATCACATGCAGATTTTAATTTTGATCGACCAATGAATGGGTTTAATTATGCTATCGGATATTAATAACTTCTTGAGCAGCAAGATGTCTGAATTCGACTTTAACGAACATTCGCATCGTCGCTATAACCCATTAACAAATTCTTGGGTCTTATGCTCTCCACATCGAACCAAGCGACCTTGGCAGGGCCAACAGGAAACAGCTGATAATGAAACGTTGCCTAGTTACGATTCGAGCTGCTACCTTTGCCCGGGAAATAAGCGTGCACGAGGAGACACGAATCCTGAGTATCAAAACACGTTCATCTTTACTAATGATTTTGCTGCAGTGAAGTTTGATCAACCCCAATTGCAGCATAATTCCAACGGTTCGTTCTCTAATTTAACTAATTTAAGACAATTTTATTTATCCTCACAGTCTTCTTTTTTTTTTTTTTTTTGTTCAGATAAATTCTCGTCATTACTAAGAGCCGAAGGTGTCAGAGGAGAATGCAAGGTTATGTGTTTTTGCCCAAAACACAACATTACCATTGCTGAAATGTCAAAAGATGCTATATTTCACGTGATTCAAGCATGGATCGAAGTTTACCGAAATTATTTTTCTATTCCTTACATCAATTACGTACAAATTTTCGAGAACAAAGGCGCAATAATGGGGTGTTCTAATCCTCATCCACATTGTCAAATTTGGTGTACGGAATCAATTCCTGAAGAACCCACCAAAGAACTTATTTCTATGACAAAATATTATGAAAAAAATAAATCTTGTCTTCTATGCGATTATGTTTTATTAGAAACATCAAAGTTACAAGATAAGCCAAGAGTAGTATGTGAGAATGATTCATTTGTGTGTGTAACACCGTTTTGGGCGATATGGCCTTACGAGACTATGATAATTGCGAAGTCTCATGTAACAAGTTTGATTGAATTGGATGGAGAAAAACAACTAAATGATCTTGCAGATATTATTCGTAGAATTACATGTAGATATGATAATGTATTTAAATGTTCTTTTCCTTATTCTATGGGAATTCATCAAGCACCTGTTGATGAAAAGGATCATTCGTATGACTCGCATTTGCATTTACATTTTTATCCCGCGTTATTGAGGAGTTCAACTGTCAAAAAATTTCTTGTCGGGTAAGTCACTTTATTTTTAAATAACACTTTCACAAAATTTTGTTTTCGCAAATCATCGAGTATTAAATATTAGATTTGAAATGCTTGCCGAGCCACAGCGTGATCTTACGCCCGAACAAGCTGCAGAAATATTGCGCAAATGTTCTGAGATCCACTACAAACAAGAAAATACGATATGAACAAGCAATAATCGTTTATAGAACGCCACAATGATATGCATTATAAATCAAATTCTTCGTTCACTTTTTATAAGGGTCACGCATTTATTTCGACTTTTGTTATTGAGATAACACCTGTTATACCTATTTGCTAATTATAGATTGTGACCTTATGACCTGTATGACATAAAATTTACTATATATTACGTTATGACTATCTTGGTCATATAAAGTTGGATACGACCTAAAATGGCCAACACTGATATACAATATTCTTACACAATCACCAAGTCAGAAGGTCTTTTTGATAGATAAATTATTTAATCAAGTGCTAAATTTTACATTTTTTTTAAATTACTTATTTCCTATCATTTGAATGTTGGGAATAAATAATATTCATTTTCCGTAAACATTAACCGTTGGAATCCAACGAGCAAATGCCGGGATTTGTGGCAGTTGAGGAACTGCCATAACATTGTTATTTTGTTTTTTGGATTTGGGCTTCATAATGGCGCCAGGTGGTCCACCTAATTTTGATGCTGAATTGTCTCGTATTGGTGGTGACTTCGGTCGTAGATTTTCAATTTCTGAAGTCATAATGCGTTAGTGTGGCAGCGTGGATAAACCTCCAGTATATTATAATAATAATAATTACCCGCCGTAGAACCAAGTAAATATCCACTAGGCTCATTGAAATATGACGCATATGTAGTTGCATCGAAATTCGAACTTGACAAACCAGTCCCGATAGTTAGCCAACCTGGTCGAATATTATGGTCCTGCAAATAGATTGATATTAATTAAATTTTTCTAGGACGAAATTCTAAGTACAAAATATACCTCTCCAAACAATTCAAGTCTTCTGCGCCCCAGACAAAAATGTTCTATAATGTGGTATAATTCTTCGGGTTTAGCTGTGCCTACTTAGAAAATGGGAGCAGCAAATATTTATATGTAAACGATATAAACATCGTTTGAAACGATAATAAAGTTGATCACAAACTCCCGAAAGGTGGTTCTTCGGATATAATGACATCTGTATCCACGTTGCAATGAATAAAATGACCATCTGTGCTGCGTCGAACTGTATCCCTGATACCCATTATACAATGTTCTTTTGTATGCTGGAAGACTGATCTAGGTTCGATGAATCGACTTCCCTAATTATTGAGACAAATGTTTCAAAATAATTCCATACTATGAATCATTAAGAGTCACTAAGAAACTGTTAATCACTTTACCTCCCATTTCTTATTAGTTTTAATCCATACAATATCTTCACATCTGCGATATCCCCATTTAAGTAGTAACTGTCGACCACGGTCGAGCCCCTCTGAATCTCCAGACCAGATAAAAATAAATGAAGGATTTGCTGCTACGTCTTCAATTTTAAGGTTAGCGTATTATAAGAGTTAAGTTATATTAAAATGAAAGTACGTGTAACTTGAAAAAACAATCATCAGATAAGGATATAATTTCATCGTAGGTCCAATAATCAGGATTTGTACCTGCGATCAATGGTGACTTTCTGCAATATCTAAATTGTCAAATGAAAATTCTGTCAAGCAAATAAAGACAAATCCGATCAAACAGCGTATATAGCATAAAAAAGAAACAAAAATATCAACTCTTCCAAAGGTGGATCAATCAAAATAACATCGAATTTAACACCAAGAGATTTAAGATCAAGTATTCGAAGATCAGCTTTCAAATAAGTAGCCGGTGTCGCCATATTTGCGACCAAAGTGTCCTTCATTTTTGTCAATTCTTTAAGTTTAGGATATCTAGACATAAAATATTCCACGAGTTGTATGATCAAATAATGTAATATTTTTTTTGATAGATATGGTGACGATTTGTAACTTACTCGTCAAAACGTTGTGATAATTCAGTATCTCTAATGAAATTTTGAGGGCGGCGTCCAGAATCAACAAAATATTGACAGTAGTCATTTCTAATAGTTTTTTCACTTTCTTGATCCGATGCCTGTTGTTCCTGATATTGTTGTTGCTGACTTTCTACCTTGTTTACGGAAATGTTAATTTGTGATATAACTGGGATCGAAACTTTAGGCATTAAATTGAATTCTGACGAATGTTTGCGTTTATTGTCTATTTCAGTTTTCTGTGTATTTTTAGTGTTTGAAAGTGATGTATCCATATTCGAATCAAATGCATTATGTAAGTTTTGCCCTAGTTCTTTGGCTTTTATACTATTTGAGGAAAATTTCTTAAATTCTTCCACAGAGTTTAATTGCAATTTGCGGCGTTTTTGACGCTCACGAAGTACTGCAGTGAGCCGATTATGTGATTCCTTGAAAGATTGAATTTGTTCTTCGACGTTTGAATTCATAATTTTGCATTAATTAAAAATTTACGTTTAATACGTATCAAATATGATGTTTGACAATCATTTAAAGTTTTATGCAGATTATGCAAATCAGGAGTTATTGTATAAAAATCAGAGCACAAAAAAAAAAAAAAATTATTTGCATTTCACCATCTCGTTCACATTGTCGTTCGGCTATACTCACTTTGCTCAATCAAAAGACCGTTTATTCAAGTCATCGCGGCTATAAACAATTCTTTCTACTACGGGAGTATTAAAGTAATTCTTTAATCATGAACGATTTGGACGAGATCTTGGATTTTGAGGAGACAGTAGACTTTAATTTATCCGATAATCCCGATGCCCTTGCTGTTGAAATATTAGATGAGGATGGTTTATTTAACCTTAATGAAGATATAGGCTTTGAAAATAGTAAACAACTAGATGAAGGTGAGTCTATTAGAGAATTTCCATGTACACCAGAGATGATGGCAACGTGACTTTTAACTTTTATTTAAACAAGGGCCTACTTCGTTAGAAGAGACCAAAGATAGTACCAAAAATGGTGATAATGACAAAACTCAAAGTAGCGAACAACTTATAGAGCTAGATAATAACTTATCCAGTGATACAACACAGCCGCAGACAGAACACTTAGAGGAAATTACTGAATTTAACTTGGATGACCCTGATTTCCTTAAAGAATATGAAGATACAAATAGTGGAATAGATAATGAAATGAACATTGAAGATGAAGAATTTTGGAAAGGATTAGGTGTGGATTCGTCTGATACTTTGGACAAAGAAGGCAATAAAGAGTCCGGGAAGCTTGAAACAGACAATTCTATTATACCTACATTACCCCCAAAAGAGAACACGCTAAAACCTTCATCAGATACTGATGTTGCTAAAGCTGACGGTAAAAAATCAAATATATCTAATAATGGGAAATCTGTGACAAGGAAATCGAAATCTCCTGAAAAAGAAGACGGTGAAATTATCAATCAAACATCTTCCACTGATAATAATAATCGACAAGCTCAACAACAAAAACAAACACAATCGCAACAACAATCTCCAGCGCAAAAGCAAGCACAACATCAACGAGCTCCACAAAATCCACAACAAACAAACCACCATTCTCAACAAAACGCTCAAAATTATAGGGGACGAGGAGTGAGAAGAAATAATGAGTGGAATCAAGGAAATGTCGGTGGTGAATTTTTTAATGGAGGCATGTCAACATTTCGGTCGGGATATGTACCGGGTTTAGACGGAATGTCAGGGTATTTGTCAATTTTACTTTATTTATAGTTGAATCACCTTTCTAAGAATGATCATGTCTTTCGTCAAAATTTCTATTAATTCAATTTAATCCAAAGAATTCCGATTGGACAAATGTCAATGGGTAATTCATCTATGATTCCGAATTTACCTAATATGCCTGGTAGGGTATTTGGAATTATCATTGTTTATGACTTCCAAAACAAAATCATTCATTTCATTTTTATTTTATATTTTGTTGAGAGGCGCATTTTATCATTTTTTTTAAATATATCTCGTAGAACTTACCAAATAATGACTTAATCACCGTTTTTCTTCAACCGGGTTATGTAAGGTCCAATGATTGGTCCTAATATTCATGTAAATCCGAATTTTGCCAGATTACGGCCACATGCACTGCCATTTATAAATCCTATGGCACAATATCACATGGGCGCTGGTGGACATCCGATGAACATGATGCCGTATCAAGGGCAGATGGAAATGCCGCCCTTTCATCCAATGGGCGGACGCGGAAGCAATGCATTCATCGCAAGAGGTGGTAATCCCATCTTCGGTCATCATAATAATTCAATGTCAGCACGTAAATCTGCAAATCAACAACAGAATACACAGAGAACAACTCAAGCAACGACTCAAGCAACGCCTCCCAAACGTAAGGCTCCAAATGATGGATTCGAGCAAAAAGAACAGGACGTCAAAAAAGCTGTTGCTACGAATGGTAAATCTCAAGCTCTTGAAAACAAATCCACTACATCTCCCTCACAGAAAAACGTCGATCGAATCAAAACACCCTCGACGACTATTACCACGAAAAATTCTTCGAATTCTACACCAGAAAAACCGTCTAAACCTGGTATTTCACCATCCACTACAAACAAAGCACCTGTCACAAAGCTTAAAAGACGCACGACCACATTGCCTTCTGAGTCTACGTCATCTTCAAAATATATGCAAGATTCTAAGTCAACCGTGAAATCCGTACCAAAAAACAACGCCTAATTCCTTGCCAGAAGTTGTTCCCTCAAAGTCATCCGCGACAAATGCCAGTGGCCCAATGGCAAACGGTACGAACAAGTTGACAATTGATAATATTGATGATCGTGTGAATAAGCGAGAGCTTCAGACCATGGCTGGCGGCGTTCCAGGTGGATTTACGGTACGTCTTGTTCTATAAAATAAATTATCTATACTATCAAATTTATTATATATATGTGAGTAAAAACACTAATTTTCCTAATTTGTATAATAGTTGGTTACGGTGGATCGCGTGGCTCGCTCGGCCGAAATTACCTTCAAGACAGTTGAAGGCGCAAAGATGTTCAGACGAAAGTACAATAGGTTTGGTTTGCTTTGCTTTCATGTCTCTTGGACACTTTATTTCAAAATTTGCGTAGTCTTATATGCTTCATCTGTTATATTAGGAGTGTCCTCGGCAAATCTAATATTATCATCAATTTCTCTTAATTAATGTCAATTTCGACGATAATTTTGTGGCGATTTGTAACTACTTTTATTATTCTTTTTCTTTTTTTGTTTTCTTTTGTAGGTGCTCGCCAAATGGATCATGATGGATTTATGCAAATGGAGGGTTATATGTATCTTTTTCCATTTTCATCAAATTATAGTAAATTATGATTATAACGAGAAATTATTAGTAAAAGTTGGACTTTTTAGATTTGAAATTTCGACACATTTTATTAATTTTGGTTGTAATTTGTCTTTGTAGAAAATAGAAATGAATTCTTTTTTATTAATGTGGTTTGGCATTTGATG